TTTTWAAATTTWWTTTYATCAACTTATCTTCTGAAGATGCACAGTGTTGAAGGATCAGTKGATCTGTGTTYGACTAMTCCACCTRKGCTGCATTGTCAAGCGCAGGTATACTGAGAAACYTTTGATTTAAAAACTGTACTTTTGAGGCTCATAATTAWTTTCAGTAAATTATAAGTTAAGAAGRGCRTGGATATTTCTCTTTTTTGTATTGARAAAGTWTTGAACCATGAGACCAAAGTATCAAACCAAACCAAATTGTGAATATTCTGCATCGTTGAACCCCAAATACATGCCTAAAAGAGGCTTCCAGTTGATATTTTTACTTCCATCTTCAATGTCTTTTAAATGTTCAAAAGTTGGCATAAGTTGTCTAAAGTGTGACAGGGCTTTTATTATTGTTGCCTTACAACTAAAAACACTCTAGATATGCAGGTCTTCACGGAGTTGGGTTTAGGCTGTGACTGTAAGAAGAARGAGCACAAGAGGCTTGAGAAAAGCTCAGAAAGGAAAAAGATCCATGTGCCGAGGAGCGCAGTTCTATGAACAGCTGAGATACTGAACAGAACCCTMAAGCTGGAAGTGAARTGGAACCACCCAAGTGGATTTGAGAAATGTTTTACACTCAAAAGAGTCATCTGTATATTTATTAACCTTTATTTGCAGGCAGATCCTATTGAGATGACAGATCTGTTTTGCAAGGGAAGCCTGGTTAAAACCAGAYCRTTGTCCTTCACTTTGGGAAACTAGAATTGAGTGGAACTGCRTRGGAAGGCAAGGGCTAGCAGCCTGGACCCAAAGGCAGTTCATTGTACATGTTTTTGGTTTGTATCCAGTTTCCCCAGACAAATGCCTTAACAATAATCATCTTTTTTCTTTATTTATACACAATTTTATTTTGCTTATAGGAACATCTTACCACAAAATCTGGCGACAATGATATGAGCTTACTTTTAAACTCTTGTGGCATTGTGAGATATGCAATAATTATCAAATTTATGGTTTTAGAGTCTATGCATATTTGTTTTCACTTTATTCATTTAAAAAAGAGGAGAAACTTATATAAAACAAAACACAATTTAAATGTAATGGAAGGAAGCAGAAGGAAGAAAACATCCACTAAAATAAATTCAAATAATTATAATACAGGCATTTTATAGACTCAAACTTTAAAACAGAAACAGCATCAGGTGCATCATTTGAACAACACTTTATGTTGGTACATATTTGACAGAATAGAAGAAYAGAGTTGGAGATCGACAGGCGGATTGGTGCTGCGTCTGCAGTGATGCGGGCGCTGTACCGGTTTGTCGTGGTGAAGTGGGAGCTGAGCCAGAAGGCGAAGCTCTTGGTTTACCGATCGGTCTATGTTCCTACCCTCATCTGTGGTCACGAGCTTTGGGTAGTGACCGAAAGAATGAGGTCGCGGATACAAGCGGCCGAAATGAGTTTCCTCCGCAGGKTGTCTGGGCTCTCCCTTAGAGATAGGGTGAGAAGCTCAGTCATCTGGGAGGAACTCAGAGTAGAGCCGCTGCTCCTCCACGTCGAGAGGAGCCAGTTGAGGTGGCTCGGGCATCTGGTTAGGATGCCTCCTGGACACCTCCCTGGTGAGGTGTTCTGGGCACGTCCCACTGGGAGGAGGCCCAGAGGAAGACCCAGGACACGCTGGAGGGACTATGTTTCTCGGCTGGCCTGGGAACACCTTGGGATTCCCCCRGATGAGCTGGCCCAAGCGGGGAGAGGAAAGTCTGGGTCTCTCTGCTTAGGCTGCTGCCCCCGCGACCCGACCCCGGATAAGTGGAAGAAAACAGACAGATGGACGGCTTGAGGTCGTAACAATATATAACTCATTTAAAAAAAAGCCCAAATATATAATTTTGGCCTTTTTCACTGAAAAAATAAAATGTTTTTTCACGTGAACATCCACATTTCATTGGAGAGTCCAATCAGGTCGTCCAGCTTGTAGCACTTTATCTTACTCTTTTCCGCTCAACAGTGTGATAATTTATCAATTTTCTATGTACCAACCCTGGTTATGATGAACTCCAAGGTGTTTGGACAAGGTTGAAYGATTTAYTTCTGAMAACTCCTTGAGCAMTTTCCTTTAACAACACACCTGACARTATTCCATACTGTCAGGTGCATCTAATTATGTAATGTGTATTGTGCTGCAGCCAAAGAAGATTATTAAATTTTAACTGCAGTGATGCACCAGAAAGATGACCTAAAATCCTTTCAATGAACTGAAGACTTCATCTTTTACTCTAACCGTGGAAGATTTCAGCGCAGAGATTCAAATCTCACATTTTAAGCTTGTTGATTTTTTTGTAAACAACAGCTGCGACACCTCTGAGGAAGATGGAAGTTCAGYATCAAAACATGTCAGGTATGTCTGAAAAGGCATAAAATAATTAGGAGTCTAATAACAAAAGATAACTTCCAGACTTTACTGATGGATGCGTTTTTTTTAACATTACAATTATTTTATTCCAGCTTCAGTATTTAAAACCCAACAGATTACCTTTCTTTAAGCATTTATTGTCTACTTGCTTGTTTACAACATSCTTTGTCTTTTCTGTGATCAGTTATTTCTTTTAGCATGATTTTATTTTCTGGTATAATTGTGTTGTGTTTTTATTTTACTTTTAAAACTCAAATGTAAATAAAGGTTCTCATTATTTCAGTTTAACAGTTTCAATAAAAATTATACATAATTGGATGCGTTTTAACAGGGAAAAAACAACAACACTCCCAAAGCATAAACCTTTTAATGACCTAATGTAAAATTTCCACCATCTTCAGCAGATGCCTGCAAAAGAGGCTTTCGTGAGCTCAAGTGTTTGAGCTTGTAGGAGCAAGAGCTTCTAGACTTCAGAATGCWAACACATATTTCTCTGAGGGTATATATGTGTTTGTGATGTTTTGTACCACAGCTGTCAGCTCTTGTTTTGCCTCTGGTGAGCCTCAGTGGTGTGACCTTTTGACACCTCCCTACAGAGTTGTTGTGTTTTTCAGCACAACTRAACGCACAAACATGTAAATTAGACAAGTGTCTTCTGATCCCAATCATGTTGCTCCCTGAAGAGGTCAGTTACGCACACGTTGTGTTTAGATGGATTTTTTTAACAGTATAAGAAGTTCAGTGAGAGTCATTCAAACACCTGAAATAGAATCAAATGCAGGCCCACAATACAAAAACAGCAGTGTTGTATAAAGTAACACTAAGTGATACTTGAGTGAAAATAAAGTATATTATCATAAAATTACTTTAGTAAAAGTTAAAGTCTCTTCTAAGAATATTACTTGAGTATAAATCTGTTGCTTTTTGTATTTAAAAAAAGTCAATTTCTGACATAAAATATACTGAAGTATTAAAAGTAAAAGTATTGAGTAAAAATGATCAGTTAGATTTTCCAAAATACATTTTTTGTAAGGTGACCTCTCCAAAAAAATTTTTTTTCTAAAAACCTGCAGCTGTGATGGATTGTATAAAAATTAATACAGTATCAGAATGGTATACATCTATACTTCTCATCTAACTGCAATTATATTTACTCTATCCTAGATGTACAATTTTTTAGGATAGTATTTTTTAACACTAACAAGTCGAAACAAATTAAGAGAAGTGACTTTCTACTTCCTACCTTTTTAAAAAAATGTAAGGAGTAGAAAGTACAGATAACTGTGTAAAAATGTAGAGTAGAAAGTACAGATAACTGTGTAAAAATGTAGAGTAGAAAGTACAGATAACTGTGTAAAAAATGTAGAGTAGAAAGTACAGATAACTGTGTAAAAATGTAGAGTAGAAAGTACAGATAACTGAGTAAAAATGCAAAGAGTAGAAAGTACAGATAACTGTGTAAAAATGTAGAGTAGAAAGTACAGATAACTGTGTAAAAATGTAAAGAGTAGAAAGTACAGATAACTGTGTAAAAATGTAAAGAGTAGAAGTAAAAAGTCAGATGAAAAATAATTACTCAAGTAGTAATTTTTGGTATCTGTACTTTACTTAAGTGCAGTAAGAAAGTATTTATACTTAGTGACTTTACAGCTCTGATAAAGAGAAGGCTGTGTTGCTCAGTGTTATAATCATTCTAAAAACTTCACTGCATTTTGTTTTCTGTGTCAAGTCYCAAACAGCTTTTGTATGTTACAGTTTTGGACAGGGTCCAGATTTTAAAGTCCTCTAAATAACTCCAGGAACTTTCCTGTTAGAGGCCCTGATTTGACTCATGCCTCCACTCGAGCAAATGTTTACATCCGTGTTTACCCCTGCACCGACCACCTGATCCTGAGCCTCTGTTGCCCACGCTGACGTTTTGATCCCCGCTGCTTTCGTTTACAGTGATTCACTAATTGGACAGCTTATGCTCTCATTGTGTTTGGACTCTTGGAAAGCCCAGTTCTTGCGCTCTAGTTCATTCTCATAAAAACTCACTTTTTTTTYCTCAGGCGGTGTCATGACACGGTACTTCAGAGCCAAACATGGACAGAGGATGTTGGCGAGATGACGTAAATGTGCTCAGTGAACATCAGTGGACATGAAAGCCTGTTTGGAGAACCTTGTGAGTCAATTTCCATGATGGGATTATGCGAAAGGTCGCAGATTCAAATATCCAAATTTAACACTGGTTCACGCAAAACTAATTCTACAAATAAAACTGAACTGGAGAAAGCAAAATGAGAAGGGAAGTGGATAAATTTCAATCTAAAACAGTGTGCTATAACTTTTACACTTCTTTTAAAATAATTAACTTTACTTGAAATGAATATTCACATAGAAATTGCTTCAATTCTTTCAAGTGCAT